TTTGATGCTGTTTACTTGCTGAATTAAATTAGTGAACTGTTGACTAGCACTATTTTCTAAATTGCTTAATCGTTGGTTTAATTGTTGTTGATTAACTAACACTTGCTGCAAAGCCATTTGGATTTCGGCCATGGTGCCACTAATTTGCGGAACTTTTTGACCAGTGAACTGTTCAAATAACAAGGGTAAAAATGGTAAGGATTGTCCCACCATTTTCATTAGTCCTGAGGGTTCTGATTGCTGAGTTTGATTATTCGGCGGAGATTGAGCTTGAAAATTAGTCTGCTGATTTTGATTTTGCGGATTGTCTTGTTGATTGTAAGGTTGAAATTTATTCATAATACTAGGCTGTTTTGGCTAAATTAGCGATAAAGTTTAAGGCATAAGCACCTCCGCCAATAGCTGGCAAATATTTCAGATATTCATTATCTTTTTTCAGGTGCTGACCATAGAAATAGAGACCGACACAAACAGCGGCTACTACTAGTAATAAGGCTTTTTTATCCATATTGTTTTATTTCATAAAGCAATAGAAAAGTTTTTTTTAAACTTTCCATTATTTATCTAATTCTTTTTTTAAAGTGCTGCTAGCTTTGAAACTAACTTGGTAATAAACATAAGCTTTACCATTTAAAGCACTACGGAGTATTCGTTCTTTTTTATTCAGAGTTCCTAAATTACCTAATTTAATCTTATCACCACTTTTTAATTTTTTGAGCGAGTGGAATAAATCCGTAATAACTAAATCATAGGCTTCGGCTAGATGGTGATTAGCTTGTTTTATTATTTTTGCCATTAGCCTTCTTTTTTGGCTACTCATTTATCATATCCTCAGGCTAAACCAACTCCAATAAGTATTGCTATCGCTAGATGGAACATGTAAGAGTCTTTAATTTTTTGGTAATTCATAAATTTATAATTTTCTTGATTATTTATTTTCTTAGACAAGGAGGAAGTTCAGAAATTAATATTTATTTCAGTTGCTCATTTCTGAGGAGAGCTGGTCAGTTGCTTAGGCGAACCTAAGGAGAGCTGGCGATATTTTTTTTCTGAGGAGGACTGATTTCTTTTCAGGCTTGGACAGGGCTATATTTTTGTTTTTAGTGAGTTTGGGGGAGAGGTGTGGTAGGTAAATTTCTATATTATAGATGTCTATATAGCACTCTATAGAGATGTCTAATATAGATTTTTGGGGGATGAAAATTTGAATGGTTTTTTTAGGGAAATTGGCAAAAAATACTCAGTGATTAGAAAAAAATTACTGAATGATGGGAAAAATTTTTACCAATTACAGTCTTTTTCCGCCATAATGCAGATTAAATCTTTTTCCTTAACTTTTAATTTATGGATATTTTTATGTAAAGAATGGTCAAAATCAATAAAGAGAACTGAGAATAAGTCATTGTAGGTTTTTTCTTTGGCGTGGAAGTAATTGCGTTTTAAATCACCAATTAAGCGGATTTCTGTGTTAGGAACAGCCAACTGATAAAGATTGGTGTCAGAGACAAGTGACTTAACCTCTTTTTTCTTGGCATACTCTTTAAAAAACTTAATGATTTTAATTTTGGTTCCATAATTAATAAAATGACAATTGCGTCTTTGATTAATTTCTTTAAAGATTAAATCATTGAACTCCCCAAAGGCTTGAATGAGCCAAGAGAAAAAAGAACGGAGATTATTTTCCCGTAAACGATTATGTAAAACTGGATCATGAATACACTCAGTAAATAATTTATCAAAGACTATTATCATTTTAAGCAGTTATTCGCGAATGTTTACCATTAGCAAACTTGATTAAACTAGTTAACTCGATATTAGTAATTTCTCTTTCCGAAGTCAGAGGTTTGCGAGCCTCTTTTCAGGGTTTATTTTGGGCTTTTTCAAAGATGATATATTGCTCAGTGTTGTGGTATTTCTTAAAGATTTTATCAGCATAATTAAGCACTAATTCATTATCAAGGTCTTTTACTGGCTTAAAAAGTTTTGGAAGATTATCACAGTTATCAAACATTTTGTCAAAGACTGATTCGATTACTGGACCATTCGGTCAAGCTTGCCATTCTTCAGTGAATAATAAAGCATTTTCTTTTTTAAGCACTTCGAGGAATAGAAGATAAAGGATTCTTTGGGTGATTGCCATATCTTCAATACCTTTCCCATAAAAATACTTAGCCACTGATAGGGGTTCAATATTTAAATTCTTTAATTTAATTGTTCTTACTGACATAATACTATTTGCTTTTTTTTGGTTTTTTACTTTTCAGTCCAGATTATCTTTATCACCCAACAATAAGAAGAATATCAATCATAAAAAACTCTTTATTTTATTTTTGGTTAGTTAAAGGCATATATTGATTAATTTTAAGTCGCAATCTCATAATATATTAATAAGTTAGCCCCCTGTTTGCCTTCTTCGATGGTGAAAGTAATAGTTTGATTTTCTTTTAAATAATCTCATTTTTCTTCCTTAACTTTTCCCGCAAAGACAAAAATGCTTTCCCCATTCTCTAACTCTAAAATATTGAAAAAGTAGTAAGTTAGGTTTTTTTTAAGTTTCAAAAAAGGAAAAAAGCGAGTAAATTAGTGATTTTGTCAATTTCCTAAAACTTTATTTTATACTTTCCTCTTTTCATGCTTACTAAATTCTTTCCTGAACTAGAAATCAAAACATTAGATACAGATTTAGAAAAAATCGATTTTAATTTTATTGCTCCTAGTTTTCTAGAAATTACTACTCCTTGCTTATTTCCCGCCCCGACCATTGGTAAATTATTATATCTAATTTATAACAAATTAAATTATTTGTTTGACTATCTAGATTATCAAATAATTGTTCGCCAATCTGGCTCTCCCCTTAACCCAAAAATCCTCCAAGGATATTTTGTGTTGGTTAGCACTACCCCTTTTCTGTGAAAGGACAAGCAAGATTTAGTTTTTTTTTGCCAACAACAAACTCTCTGAAAAAACTTTACTTATCAAAGAAATATCGTTTATTTGTCCTGAAAAAACTTAGTTCCTGCTGCTGCTTCTCCGACTCCCGATTTAGTTAATTGAAAATCTAAACTGACTATTTGGAAAGCCATGCTCGGAAAATTAGGCCTAACCAATATTCGCTTTTCTTTAAAAAAAAGCAGCCGCTTGGAAATTAATAAAAACAAGAATAATCCCCCTCCCAATCCCAGAGCAAACTTCTCAGGAAAAAAAAATAGTTCTAATTCATTAAATAATAAAAGCCAGTTAAATAAAACATCTCTACTACAAGAATGGCAAGAAAAAAAAATATTTGAGTTAGGAGTTCATACCAAATTTAGCACCCTGGATGGCATAAGTAGCCCGGCCGATTATGTGGCAAGTGCTCGGCACAAGAATTATGCGGCCCTGGCGGTAACTGACCATTATACTGTGCAATCTTTTCCCGAGTTTAGTAAGCACCAAAAGGATGATTTGAAAATTATTTATGGTTGTGAATTGGAAATGCTAGAAGATAATTTACCTCCTTACATTTTTAACCATTCTGAGCAAATTTTAGTCGAAAAAATAACCGATTTGACTTATTGCCTGTTCGATTTAGAAACCACGGGATTTTTTTCCGAATATAACGAAATAATTGAAATAGGATATGCGATTTATCAAAAAGGAGAGATTATTCGCCAGGGAGAATATTTAATTTGTCCGCAAAAAGAAATCGCACCCGAAGTCCTGACTGCTTGATATACTAGTATTGACCCTCAGGAGTTAAAAAAGGCCCCCCCCCCATTAACGAAGTTTTACCACTTTTACAAAAGGAGTGACAAGATTGTATCTTAGTAGCTCATAATGCTGGTAATTTTGATTATGGTTTTTTAAATAAAGTTTGACAAGAGCACTTGGGTCAAGAATTGCCCCATCCGGTTCTCGATACTTTACCTTTATCCTGGATATTATTACCCGAACGTAAATCATATAGTTTGGAAAAATTGAGTCGTATTCCGGGGCGGGGGAAAATCACCCAAACTCACCGCGCTCTGGATGATAGTAAATTATTAGCCGAATTATTAGGGAAGTTAATTAAAATCTTAAAAGAAAAAAAAATTAGTTGTTGAGGAGAAGTAAAAGAATTAATCGATAACAATTATTTTCCTAATCGGGGCTATCGCGTAAAAGTTTTGGCTACTAATCAAGTTGGATTACATAATCTTTACCAATTGATAACACTTTCTCATACCCAGCGATTATTCAAAAAACCCTGTGTTTTTCGTTCCGATTTAGTCAAGTATCGACCCGGACTCTTAATTGGTGCTGCTGGCGGGAGAGAAGGAAAAATATTTTCACTTTTTAGTGCTTTTAATTCCCCCAAAAAAAAGCAAGAAGAAATACGCTTTTATGACTATGTAGAAGTAAATAGTCCGGAAACTTTTCGTCATTTATGATTGAATGGGCAAATTGGTGAAAGGGAACTAAAAGCGATGATTTGGCAAATTATTAGGACCGCCCAAGAACTGAATATTCCTACTATTGCTGCTCATAATGTTCATTACTGTGAAAACAAAGAAAAACTGCTCAAAGAAATTATTGTCGCCAACGAAGGAATTAACGGCAGTCGCCACCCTTTATACAGTGTGGCAACTTTGGAAGCCAAAGAGGACCGCTTTGCTCATTTACCCCCGCAACACCTACTCAATTTAGAGGAAATATTAACTAGTTGGCTTTTTCTTAATGATAAAAATTTAATCGCGCAACTTATTTTCCACTATCCCCAAGCCCTAGTAAATAAAATAAAAGAAGTTACTATTCAGCCGCCACCGCTCAATTACTCGGCTACCGAAAGCACCCAGGAAGAAGAGCAGGAATTAGTAGCTACTTATACCGAGCGGACTACGGAGATATTTGGTCAGCAATGACCAGAATTTGTTCAAGAGCGCATAGCCCAAGAATGGAAAATTATTAAAGGTCGCTATGTCTTTATTTATTGGTTAGCTTATAAAATTGTCCAAAAAACTCATCAAGATGGTTATTTAGTTGGTTCCCGGGGTTCAATTGGCTCTTCTTTTATCGCTTATCTGTGTGGGGTTACTGATTTAAACCCTTTACCTTTTTATAAGTTTTGTCAAAAATGTCGCTCTGCCGAACTTTACCAAACCAAAGACAAAATCTATTCTTGCTATGATTATCAAGAACCAGAAATTTGTCCTCATTGCTCCTCCTGGCTAACTATGGCCGGCCATAATTTACCTTTTGAGACTTTCTTTGGCTGAGAAGGAGAAAAAACCCCCGATATTGACTTAAACTTTTCAGGCGATTACCAAAAAATCGCCCATAATTATGTGCGACAACTGCTGGGAGAAAACTCAGTTTATCGGATTGGTACCATTAGCACTCTTTCCCAACAAACCGCTGAAATTTTTTGAAAAGAGCATCTTAAATTACGCCAAAAACTTAGTTCCCCCGAACATATCCAAGCCTGAGCTAAGTCCGAATTAATAGCCACCTGGCAGCAGGAATATTGAGAAAATTTACTAAAAAATCGCTCAGATTTTGCCGAGGAGGAATGATATAAAGCCTGAGTTGATTGAGAAAAAGTTAAAGAATTACAAAAACAATTAACCCAAGCCCGCCAAGAAAAAATTCAACTGGAAATTGAATTAAAAAAAATGGAAGGGAGATAATAAAAAAGTCTTTTTTTTGCTTTCTTAGGGAAATGGATGAAGATATAATGCTATTTCTGGTGTTAATATGTGAAAAATTTTCTATTTAGACAACCAAAGCAAAAAAAAGGTATTTTCTCCGAATAAGATAATTTGTTTGTTAATTTATACCTAAAACTTGTATTGTTAACACTTTGTTCTTTAAAGTTTGTCAAAGTTGAAACTTAACATCGGATATCTTTGGATTTTTTGGTTGGTTTTTAACATAAAGTTCCCTAATCACTGAGGCTTTTTTACCCTCAATTCACCCTGTTTTTTTTTTTTTTTTTTTTTGCTAAAAACTTTAATAAATATACCAAACAATATGAATAACAAACAAGCATTAAAAAAGTTTTGAGAAAAAGAAATAAATGACACTGCTAGAAATTTAGTTGTGAAACTCGAAGATGGTTTTTGAAAAGATTTCCAAGCAGCTAAGACCTTAAAAGAAATAGACTATTGAGGAGTTTTGCTGTTAAACAATGTGTGAGACCACTATCATAATAATAGTAGAGATTGAGTAAAGAAATCCAAACCCACCGCTTTTCCTGACAGTCTTGCCAGCCAACAACGAAAAACATTTATAACTAGTGCCATAGCAAACGAATTAGAAGACAATTTTGAAAAAGAAGTAAATACTAAACTAGGAGATAAAGCAACACAATTAAAAGAATATGAGACTCAAGTTCCTCTGTTGACTGAGGAAAATAAAAAACTAACCGAAGAGCGAAAAAAATTAAGTGATGACTTATTTAAAGCCCAAACTGATAATATTGAATTAACCCGAGCCATTACAGAGATTGGTTTAGACCCTGAAGATTTAGAAACTAGTTCAAATAAATTAGTTGCTGATAATTTAGCCAGAACATTAGAGATAGCCAACCTTAATGTTAGAATCACCAATTTAGAAGAAGAAGTAAATAAGTGAAAAGAAGTTGATAATGATAATAAAGAAATATTAAATAATTTAGAAACAGTTTTAGGAATACCTTTAAGAGAAATAACTGCCTTACCTAATGGGCAAACTCTTACTAGTTTAATCACTTTTTATCAGCATAATGTTAATCATAAATGTGACAATGTTCCTACTGATTACAATACTACTAAAGCTGAGTTAAACACAGTTAAAGCAACTCTAGCTCAAATAACTGCGGAAAGAAATGCTAGTCAAGTAGCCTATCAAGAATTAATTGGTAATGATGGATTAGATTTAGAAGTTGTTCATGAAGATGGAGCGGGCAGAGGTCAAGTGAACAACATTAAATTAAAACATTTAAAAACCAGTGCTGACAATGGCAAAAAACTAGCATATATTTTCCCTGAATTGTTAGATATGAATAACTACGAGGTAAGAGAAATCGATTTAACTAATTTAAGAAACCTCTATCGTCAAGTCAAAAATGAAGGTGATTTAGAGGGATTGGTTGACCGTGATAAATTAATTATTGATACGGGTAAAATAAAGAAGTTGGCGGAAGAAGCAGGTGAACCAAATGAAGCCGAAACCAAATTAGCCCACTCAACTCTAATTATCAATAATGCTAATACTAAACTGGGAATAGATATCACAACTGATGATTTAGGTAAAAAATTGGATGGTGGTAAATTATCAGAAATGCCTACATCTACTTTGAAACTTTTAATTCAATGACATGCTAGTCTTGCCAATATTATTAATGGAACTAAAATCTTTACAATTGGGTCTGACGGAATTATTAGTACGGGAACAGCAAAAGATGTTCCCGAAGCTATTCGACAAGCTAAGGAATTAGCAGGAATTAAAACCGAACTAGATACTAAAAAAAGAGCTATTGACGGGGTAATTAATAATTTACAGGTTATCTTAGGATTAGATAAAACTGCTTTTGTTCCTGATGATTGACATACTCGAATAGTTAAGAAAGCCGACTTAGATACCGCTAATGCTACAATTGCTACTCAGGAAGCAACAATTACTAGTCAGAATAAAACAATCGCTGATGCGAAAGTTGCCTTGGGAATGGAACCAACTGCCCGATTAGATACTTTACCAATTTTATTAAATAACAAAACTCTTCAAAAGTTAATAGAGGATAGCAATAATTTACCCCAAATTCAAGCTGACTTGGATACGGTTAATGAAGAAATTATTACTTTAAACACTACTATTGATAATGCTCAAACTTATTTAAATATTCCTAATTTAACCGCAGACAGTTTAAAAACTTTCAAAGATGCCCATACTGAATTACCAACGGCTCAGGAAAATATTACTGCCTTAACTACT